ATATCCCTTTGAGAGCGGGCCGCTTTTTGGAAAAAATGATCTGTTTTTACATGCTAATATTATTGAATATAGGCCGGATCGTCGTACCGAAAACCCATTGAAGGGGATCGCCGATGTAGGAATCGTATGGATATTGCTGTTAAACGGCTCTTTCAATTTATCGCCCAAAGTATCTAAATTGATCCTAGACGCTCAACTTGACGCGGGCAAAAAATAACTCCTGACATACTTTAACAATGCTTGCATCTTTATCATAAAATACTCCAAACTTCTTATACGACTAAAAGTCTCTTAGTTAGCTTTACACAAAGTATGTTAATTTTTTAATACACCAAAATCAAAAACAAATATAGCAAACTGTATCTAGGGAGGTAGACATAAATATGTAGATCTTATATTTTATCCATTATATCCCTTTGATACAGACGCTCGCATGGAAGCGAACTCGCACACGCGCACACTTACACCGACTTAGATCTTAATATTTAAACAATATGGATACTACGAATGTAAGAGCCATATTTGAACATAATATACATAATAAAACTTTGATAAATAAATAAACGAGAGAAGCAAGGATGATGAAGGTAAGAACAATAAGTACATAGAAAATGTGTGTGTGTGTGTGTGTGTGTGTGTGTGTGTGTGTGTGTGTGTGTGTGTGTGTGTGTGTGAGAGAGAGAGAGAGAGAGAGAGAGAGAGAGAGAGAGAGACTGACAGACAGACAGACAGGCAGAGACAGAGGGAGAGTGAGAGAGAGAAAGATAGAGTGAAAGGAAGAGGGAGATGAAGGGAGAGAAAGATAAATACATTAGATAAAGAGTTGGTTAAAGAGACCGAATCGGAAATGAAAGAAGGAAAATTAATGAATAGTAAGGTATTTATACGTTTTAATCCATTTGACCAAACCAAAAAGGCAAATATACAACGAAATAGAAAAAGGTAGTAAGACAGTCAGACCTGCACAGTAAAATAAAACGATAGAAACAAAAGTGAGAGTAATAACAACAGATAGATAAATGAAAGGAAGACAAAAGGAGGATGGAAAGTATGTACAATTAAAAAAAAAAAGGAAAAGAACTCATATTCAAGAAAAAAAAGTAAGATAAGCATGAGGAGTAATTCGGGATAGATAGATAGTGATATATTGATGAGAGCGAGAGAAAATAAGAACGAGAAAGAGATAGATAGATAGATAGAGAGAGATACAGAGAGAGAGAGAGAGAGAGAGAGAGAGAGAGAGAGAATGGGTGGGTGAAAGATATTTGTCAGTTTTAAAATCTTCCTTGAATTGCTTACTTATTTATTTTACCATATGATAATAAAGTTTATTTCGCAGGTCTGAGAGTTTGAAATGGAATTTCGACTTTACATATCTACCCAGGCTGGCAAATTAAATTACGCGTTAAAACCATCATTTATTGAAGTTTTCATTGGAATGGCAATTGCAGCGAAATTAATTCGACCAGTAGGATAAAACTAATTTCAGTCTGTTTACTCAGCCGGACAGCGCGCCCCTGTGTAATAGGCCTGATTGGGTCAGCGCTGTTGTTTTTGGCCTGTGCCTGAATTTCACTTTATCCTCGCTTTATTGCCCATTGGCAGACGGGGAAATCTTTGAAGAAGTTTCTGAAACATATTTTACTTTCCTACCCGCCCAGTAGAGAGAATAAAAGTTCAAAATCATCTTCAACAGTTGGTAACATTTTTATTTATAAGTGTAATCTATTAATTTTGTTATTAATTATGCTAACAAACCTTATTTTCAAAGATTTCGTAAGAAATAAATTTTAAACTGGAATTTGATGGAATTTAAACTTGTACGCTTTCGAGAAGGAGAGCCATTAATCGGTTGTTACATTACACCATGACTACTTATAGGCACAGTAAATAAAATTCATTATATATTATATATAATAAATTTTATTATATGTAATATTTATTATATATAATATTCTCTTAAGTTTTTCAATAATTAATGTACAACTAAATCAATTTATTTGAAGGTTATTAGATTATAGACATGACTTTTGTTTCTTGTATGGTTGAAGGTTTCTTTTTTTGGATTTTGATTTTAGATTTATATATGCTCAACTCTAATAGGCAGGATTGAGAAATCATTACTTAATAATGAATATACACTAGGCTGATTCTTCGATATCCAAGGGGCGTTTGATAATGCTGATACTTCTTGCATTATATCAGCACTAGATAAATACAATGTTGACCATCACCTTACTAGATGGGTGAAGACCTAGTCGGAGGGAAAGATGGTCAATACGTGCTTAGGTTGTAGTATTCTAAGAATTAATGTCAAAGGAGGCTGTCCACAGGGAGGTTGCTTGTCACCTCTTTTATGGTTAATTACAGTAAACAGTTTAATAGAACTTCTGAATAGTTCAGGTTTCTACAGTCAATTATTTTCAGATGACGGTACCATAATGATCACGGGTAGGGATCCCCTGACTATTTCACTGATGAAGGATGCCATGGGATTGCTTTCTGAGTGGTGTTGTGATAAAGGTTTATCAATTAATCCAGCTAAACTGGAATTGATAATGTTTAGTAGAAGAAGAACATAAGGTAATTTCAAAACCCTAAATTTCAGGGCATAGAATTAAAATTGGTGGATTCAATCAAATTCCTTAGGGTGACGCTTGACAGGAAACTTGGTTGGAAAGGTCATATTAACAATACATACAGGAAAATCACAATATCTATGGTACAATGTAGGAGGATTGTTGGTAAAACATGGGGTTTCAAAACATGGGCAGCTAAATGGCTATATACCGCAATTATTCTACCTAGATTATTGTTCGCAGCTTTAGTATGGTGGAAAGGGCTAGAAAAAAAGGGAACATTAACAAATTAAGATCCTTTCAAAGACTAGGCTGTTTGATGATGACAGGAGAATTTTCAACTACACCCACCCTAGCACTTGAGATCATAACCAATACCACACTTCTACACATAGAGGCTAAGGTCAGAGAACTAACCAGCTGCTACAGATTAATTACCGAAGGCAGCTGAAACCATAAGGGTAATAACATAGGTCACTCGAAAATCATACAATTATTGAGTAAGGTTAACGGCCAACTATTAAACGTTGGCGATAAAAAGGTTAAAACCCCTTCGGGGAAAACGTACTTCAGGTAGTTTTGTGAATACAACTATAGTTCGGATGAGGACCATCGTAACATAGACTGCTATACAGATGGTTCACTCATCAAAGGTAAAGGAAGTGGTGCTAGAATCCATATACCTAAATGAGGTATCAGCATCTCCTCCCCTATTGGCAATAACTCCTCTGTTTTTCAGGCAGAAATCTGGGCCATTAATGTGTGTTGTAAAACACTTATGGAAAATAAAATCAAGGGAAAAGATACTAGAATTTTCTCCGACAGTCAGTCTTAGGTCATTACAAAAAGATTGATCAACATCTAGACTGGTGGAGGAAACTGTTGATCTTATCAATAGGATCACTTCCAAGTTTGAGATCAAGGTAACCCTTATTTGGATACCAGCACATAAAGGACATTATGGCAATGAAGAGGCGGATAGCCTGGCCAAAGAAGGCTCAAATACTACGTTTGTCGGGCCACAACCGGTATTATCTCACTATATTAGCACAGCGAAAGAGAGTATTAAAAACTGGGGTATAAAACAATTCCTTAGAGAATGGAATCTGTCCCCCGAACACAGGCAATCGAAGGAGATCAAACCAGTAGAATCGAAATGGCTATTCTCTAACTCAACGAAGGAATTAGGAGGCTGATAGGTATCCTGACTGGCCATTGCCCACTGAGAAGGCACCTCTTCGCAATGGGTATTCTACCAGACCCCTTTTTCCGTTTTTGTGAAACAAAAGAAGAAACGGCACGTCACTACCTCGCAGAGTGCGATAGGTACTCTAGGTCTAGATTCGCGACTTTTGAAGGAGAGGACATCACCAAATCACTCCCCGAGATTAAATGGGGTTTGTGAACAAGTCCAAGAGGTTTATGCAGGACATGTGAGCCGACCAAGTTTATGGATGGGGTACGAGTCTACCCTGGCAATTAACCCCTAGTGTCTTGGTCGCCCACCCTGCATAATATATACTCTGAGTATGTACAACTCTGTTTATGTATGTATGTGTACATATATATATATTTAAAGACACACATAAACAGAGTTGGGCATATCCCTTCTCGCAGTCCACTGGCAATTCCAGCAATTGTAATTTACAAAAAATTACCGGCATACCACGACCACTAACCAACCCGGGTGTTGGCATCCGAGGTCAGGTCAATTCAACGCCCAACGCATACACTTCCTTGATCCAAACCCATTCACACTCTCATTCATTCTTAAGAACATTATTTCATATTTACGTACGATTCAGTCAATTTGGGTGGTGAAGTACTCGATATTCCTCCATCGCCTTGTTCAACTATTGTACAACTAATCTAATTGAGAGTCGATGGGTGCTCAATATTACGCTATCAGCCGTCTTTCACTACACATTCACGCGCATATATACATTCACTCTCAACACATATAAGGTGTTACCCACCCAGATACAATACGATTCTCATATAGGGTGGCATTCCTACACGCTCTCTATATAGAGGCAAGGAATCGCACGCTTCGAATAGGTGGGACATATCGAGCAACCTTTCTCTATATGTCGGACATATAAGCGAGCTATGACCCAAAAGTATGTGACCGTGTGCCAACGTCGCATGGCCTATTCTAATCGAGTGGGGCAGGCAATTTATATACGAGGCAGGCCCTCCAAGGTTCACCAATAGACAGTGCTCTTGATACGTTACACTTCTCTACTGGCCCGGCCCAGGCGGGAAGGGTTTTGGTGGTAAATTATTTTTGAAGGTTTTTGTCAATTACTTCCAAAGTAAACAATAATAATAATTAAACAAAACTCTAAAATAAAACAGAATATAATAACTGCTAAATATGATAAAAGATGGTGAAAAAAATATCGTGAAGAGTAAACGTACCTTAGGCAAGCAGTATGAATGAAAGGAGAACGGATAGACTGGGTGGACCTAAACATAAAAGTAACATAAGCATTTTTTGTATTAATAAACAATCAAAACATTTGAGTTAAATTAAAACAAAATTTTATTGGATTTTAAAAAATCAGCGGCTCATCTAATCGGTTTTAAATAGAAAATAAAACGTTTGCTACAATCTTGGTATTTTGGAATACATTTTCATTACACTGTTAAGTTTTATAGCTTTTGTTTTCCTTTTATCTCCCTCTTGTCTTACGAGTTCTAAACACTTTTTTTATTATTTCCACAGTCCGCAATTGTGTTCGTTTATGACCCGTGCTGTCCGATAGTAATTGCTGACGGGTGGCCAACATCTGTTCCTCGACCCGAACCATCTGGCCTGGAGGAAAAAATCCAACGGAATTGACTTGAACAAGTTTGTACGTACGTAAAAATAAAAATGGACAAAGAACATGGATTGGTTCGGACAATTCGGGCATGATGGGAGGTCAATCCATGGAAATTTAAATAGTAACCGCCATTATACCAAATGCATTGTAATTCGATTTACGTTCGATTCGATTCGATCATTCGAAAAACGGTCTTTTCCACTTATAACATTAAGGTCACGGCGGTTTGCACAACCTGTGTACATCGAATAGTGTCCGAAGCACCGCTTTAATAAGTGACCCGTGGCTTAATGAAGCCCAGGCCGCAAGCAATCCGGGTGTAAGCCCCCACCGGTCGGATGGTTTTCGGACCAGATGAAAAATAGTCAAGTACTTGTCAACTTTGACGAAAAAATGGTATTATAAACATCTACCCCTGGAAGTTTGGGATGTTTTTATTATATTTAGAATTCTTGAAATTCCTGAATGAAATTAGAATTGATTGATTTTTATTACGAAGGCTTAACAAACTCGTCTGTATTCTTTACATTCTTGTTTTTAATTACATTATCAAACATGCAAGCGGAAAATTTTCCTTTTCATATATTTATATAACTCTTTCCTATTCACCAGTCTAACTATTTGTTTAAAAAAGTTTATTTTTTTCGACTAATCAATCATTTCTTTGTACATTTGTGTAATGCTCTGGTGTGAGTTGAGAAAAACATTTTCTTTGTCGTGCCAACGTTTTGATCTTTATTAAGATCATCTTCAGGACCAGGGATTTATAAACATTGTTTAAATTATACAAATACATGTAAGATGTGAAAATGAATGTACACAAAGATGTACACAATATGGAAATTTTAGGTTTAATCGAAGTATGTGTATTCACTCACGCAATATTTGTGTAATGCTCTGGTGTGAGTTTACAAAAACATTTTCTTTATCGTTCCAACGTTTCGATGTTTATTGAGATAATCTTCAGGGCCTGGGATTCACAAACATTGTTTAAATTATACAAATACATGTAAGATGTGAAAATGAATGTATACAGTGATGTACACAACATAGATATTTTAGGTAGAGTATTTGTACTTACTGAAAGTGTGTGTTTTCTGTGTATATGTGTCATTGTTGTGTGTCGTGTTGAGAGTGTTTGTGAGCTATTAATGTTTTTTGTTTATATATGTTTTAATGAAATGGGGAAGGAAGTAGGGATAGATATCCATTTTTCTACGAGGAGTCGTCTTCTTTAAGGTGAAAGGAACCAACAATGGAAAAAAAGGGTAATGGTTTGTCATGCGGGGCTGGAAGGCTGAAGAATTAGACTAGACTTGTTAGATTTATGGAGTATAATGATCGTTTTATAAGTTGTATTACATGTTTCGTGTGTTGTATGTATGTTATTGATATTGAATTTGATTATAGATATTAGCGTAACTGCGACTGATTTACATGGGTCTGTTCTGTAATTGATTCTGTGTTTATCTCTGTTGATATAAAACATTTTTAAAAAGTTACGTTTATGTTTCTTTTATTCTGTGTTTAATATTTTTGGATTGTGGAAATCGAAGTTGTGTTGGTGTTGAAAATGGTGGATAGACAGTGCTGTAGGATTTTGTTTGGGTTTTTGCAATCATAGATATGTTGTTTTGTCTTATGCAAGTATTGGGATGTAATTCGATGTAAGTTGCCGGACAATTTATAGAATTGATATTGTAAATTACATCACACTTATTTGTTACTGGTGACCAATCTTTAATTTTAGAAAAAAAAACCAGTGTGAATATTTTTTGAAGTCTATTTTAATGTTCTAATGACACATCTACAAAGAAAACACAATTTTAGTGAGTACAAATACTTTGAATAAACCTAAAATTTCTATATTGTGTGCATCATTGTATAATTCATTATATCATATTTTTATGTCAGGTCTTTGTTGAGATAGCCGAAGGTCGTGGGTTCGAATCCCGCTCATGACACTAACTTTTCATCTCAACCAAGACCTGACATAAAAAGGATAATTAATTTGTTATCCTATGTGAAAATAAATAATTCACCACATCAAGGCGGATTATCGAAACGAGAAATGTGAAAATTGAGAAGCATCTCTCTCTCTCTCTCTCTCTCTCTCTCTCTCTCTCTCTCTCTCTCTCTCTATTTATCTATCTATCTATCTATCTCTATCTCTATCTCTTTATCTATCTATATATCTAATCTATCTATCTATCTATCTATCTCTTTATCTATCTATCTCTATCTCTATTTCTATCTCTTTATCTATCTATCTATCTTTGTTTCTCTCGAGATTACTTTGGTCGCCATTTGTTATAAACTGAGTTTATTTTGTATAAATTAAAAAATTAATTGTGGGCTTAACACTTTATTTCACCGGTATTGTATACACCCACGTGTGTACGTATATTTAAGTTTGCATTATTTTTATTTTTTCACAAATTTTTATAACATCAATAAAAAATTTTACCAAATCTTACATAGAAATAATGTTTTGTAAGCACATTAACTCTTTTATAACAAGACTTACAAGCTTAAAAGCAAATAAATAATTAATGTTAGTATGTGATGCTGCCTTTTCTGATATAATTGCAAAGTTAAATTTTTAAGTGGTTCATTTGTGTTGTAATGCAGAATGGTGGACGGTTCAGTGTCAAAGAAGTGTGGCTCATACTACGGCGTCATTTTCGTTACAGATTATAAAGTTTTCTCATTTTCGCCTTTAAATCACATTTTGCCCCGTACTTCCTGTTTCCTGATGAGCCGATAATCTCCGGAAAGGAATATTTCTAACATAATCAAAAGGCAATTTTCGATCGGCCGCGGTCTGATGGACGGACGGGACAATGTTTCGTATCAAGTCGAATTTTGTTCCCATCAATGCCCTAATCAACCCGGGCATCGGATAATCAACGGAATGTGATCAGACTTCAAATTCAACGGCACAGATGCGCAAATAGAATATCAAATCGGACAATAAGGTCTGATTTCGGCTTCCCCCTGGATATGTCCAATTAGCCGTAGTCCATAAATAAAATTTAATTTTAATCGATTATTGTTTTGTTGAACCGTTTTCTTTCAGCGGGCTGTAATGAAAATGGAAGCCGTCTTAACAATTTAAGAGGAGAATATGGTTATTGCCATGGGACCTTAAATTAAACTGGAGGGTTTTATGTGGGCATTTCGGCTAACAACTGCCACCAACCCTTGCTCATTAACCAGAAAAAGAGCTTGCTTCGTCATACATCTTTCATTCAACACAATTCCCTTGCGTTTTGTTTTATAATAGTCGTAATTAAATTCCTGAATGCCTGTGAAAAAATTTTGAAATGAAAAAACGATTGACCTTTTGCTGCTCACAGAATAAAAATTGTATAGCAAAGACGATTCAATTTCGTTAATCAGTTAAACAACTGTACAATAAATATGCCATTTATTTTAAACAATTCAAATAACCTTCAACGATAGAAAAGTTTTAGACAAGAGTTTACTTAATACATTTAACTCTTATATTAGATTATTCCTTGAGAAAAACCTGTGATTGGGGTAAACAAGATTAACATTAAAGCTGTGGGTGTTGGTTTTATGATTTTTTCCACCCAGTGATTTCTCTTCTTTCCATTCTTTGTCCTTTCTAACGATAACTAACTAGGGGGGAGTCCGCCCGGACAAATAATTCGTCTTCACCCTTCTCTTATTGCAATGGATGCTAATAACCCTCCGCGTGGTTCGGGGGTGATCTCATAAAATGCAAAAATCGTTGAAAAATTAACACAATTATTATTCATTAGTGAGCTTTGTGGCTTAAAGGGGGTCAGAAGGAGATAATTAAGGTCCCCCGGTGAAGTTAATCTACCACTTCATCCCTCTTTTTTTTTTCCCCCTCCTTTTTTACTCTACACGGCAGCTTGGTATAATAAATATCCACTGAATCTGACCCTGCCGAATTTTAACGCTTTTTTTCTTCGTCCTAACAAAGCGTTTAAGTTAGTCGATAAAGATTCAAGAAAGAAAATTAGAAGATAATCTTTGTAAAAGAGTAGAGAATTTATTAAGCATCAATCGGATCAATGCAGCCCTCAGAAGCACCTTATGTTTTTACACAAAGATTTTGTTTTAAAATAATAATTTGGTTTTTTGGGCCGGAAAACAAAATATGTCATAATCATTTCAAAAAAAATTCCTCTATCGGTCTAACATTTTTCTTTTCTCCTTGGCATATATTCCTAATATTTGTTTTTCATGAGGTTTCATACACATGGATAAGTGTTTTTTTAATTATATGCAGACGGATTAGATCTATGATCCAACCCGTACTTCTTTCAAACATTTACCACCTTAGGTACTATTTCGAGACTCTATTTATAAAAATCATAAATTAAAGTACAATATATCGAGAGACCCTGTTGATAAAATAATGATTAATTAAAAAAACGCAAATTCTAAAAATAGATTTGAAAAAAGATAAAAAAGAAACTTAAAAGTTTTTACAGACTCTAAAAACTGAGTATTCATTATGGAAAGCTACACGAAAATCAAAGAAACCTATCAGCCAAATTCTACCTCTTTCAAAAAAAGACGGCTAATGGGCAAGAGATAATAAAGACAAAGCTATCACATTTGTAATTCATTTTGCAGAACGTT